TGTAAAGTGAGAAAACAGTATTTCCTGTATTGAGCTGTGGTAAGGATTAAAGAGCTAATAAATACAGAGTACTGAGAACAGCATGTGGCTCATATTAAGTGTTCAATGAACAACTGTATTATTTCTACATATGCCTGGTCACTAGTCCAGGGTGGGGAACCTGCAGGGCCCTTGGGGAAGGATGGACCACCTTCATAGCAGGAAGGCTGGCGGAAGAACAGCATCCTGTTGTAGAGAGATCACTGACCAAATGCGACATCAGAGCCGGGTGGCTTGAAGTGTTGACTGAGAGATGGGGTGCAGACCTTAAGGCTTGGATACTGGACAGCAGGAGCAAGCCTGGTAAACGGTGCAGATCAGTCTTCAAAAATATGAAGAGTATATCTGGTTCCAGAGATGTACTGCCATTTAGGGTATAGGCTGCGAAAATGTGTTAAACTATGTGTTTACATACTGAAAGAAGAGAGTGAGCCTTGCATTTCTGCCCTTGTATTTCTCTTTCAGCCTATTTCTTAATTGTACAGCTTCTATTAGTTTTGTGTCTATTGTAATTATGGGGTATTTAATTTAAAGAAAAAATAATCAGAATTTCACCATTAATGGCAGTTGACCCATAGTTTTAAGTACTAATGCCCTGACCTCAAATAAAATAGGTATTTCCATAGCTAAGATTCATACTTAACTATTAACAGTAGATGAAAAAAGGAAGAGCCACTTTTTATTCAGATTCTGGGACAAGAACTTATAAGAAATGTTAAACTGGATCATGCCAATGGCTCATACAACCACCAGAGTGTCTGGTCTTTGACAGTCACTCCTGAGGAATTTTTCTAATGAATCTGATAATTGTCCCTGTTGATGTCAGTCTGAGCTTGAGATGTCCAAGCACCCGCTCTTTAGTTCAGTGTCATACATTCTTTACTCCGTCTCTTCATTTCTAAATGGAGCTGTTCAAATAACTTGTAACCTCACCAATTTTCTCCAATAGAAAGAAAGCCATGAAAGAAACTTGTTTGGCACTAAACTCAATAAATATCAAGGTGTAAATGGCACTTAGATATAATCATGTACTTTTGCTCAGACCAAGTACATTCAGGACATGAATCCTCTGTTCAGCAGCTATTATTAAAGCAATAGTAACTGCCAATTTGACAAAATAACTTTTAAAATGTCACAAATGACTCAAGAATTTTAGGAGATGGATTTTATTATTTACTAGGAAGATGCTAGAGGTCAAAATAATATGCTTTCTATTCTATTCCACACACACATATATATAATAATAAAACTTTTAAAATGATATTTGCCAATAAAGGTCTTCAAGAAATTTATAGATTTTTGCTGAAATCTTTTGCCAATGATTTTCAGAGATAACCACTTATGCTGATGATAACATAAAAATGATGACTTTTCCAGAGCCCTATCTGCTTTCTAAGCACTTGAACATATATGACCTCATTTTAACTTTATAAATAACCTTATGGAATATAAGATATACATATAGGATATGTTGAATCTGATATCAGGTTTCCATTTGGCAAGTAAAAGAACATGTACATAGAAGCTAAGAATTCTTCAAAGTCACAAAGCTGATTAACAGTGGGGCCAGAGAATGGGATTGTTGTCACTTTCTCCAATTCAGTATATTAGACAATAATTCCTAGATGTTGTGGCTAAGCAGGGCTTCCCTGATAGCTCAGTTGGTAAAGAATCTTCCTGCAATGCAGGAGATCCCGATTTTAAAAAACATTTCAAAGGGCCGGACAGGGTTGCCAATTTTGTTCATTTTCCAGGTAGAGGAAAACAAAGAAAAAAAATATATATATGACTTCTACCTACTATTTCTATCACATCATAAAACTATCCTTTATTTTATCACCCCAAATAGGAAAAACATGATCTGAGAAAATCTGTAGTTCTTTAATAACATTTGTTTGTAAGAAAATCACTAATTTTTACTTTTTCCCCTTCATTTTACTACGGACTGATGAAAACTCTTGTTATGGTCTAGGACCAGTTCTCAAACCAATACTTGCAAATCATTAAGCTCTTTTGTACTGTTTCAAAAGTCATCATAGCTCTTCCATAACTATGCCTTGTTGCATTTCACAGTCTTTTAGAAGAAACCAGTAAGTGCTAAGTTCTCCCTTTTGAAAGATACTCTTCTTCAACTGATACTATAACAAAATGATCAGTATAGTAAATTTACATTATAATCAAAACACAGAGCTGTTGACTGACTGGACATGACCAGGCTGAGGGTTGGCAGTGAAGCAACAACTGTAGAAGCAACATGGAAACCACCATAATTACTTTCCCCACCTCCCATAAGACAGTGAGAAGGGCAGGAAAAATGTTTTGTGCCTCCTTTCTCATTTCTTCATCCACTTTCACGTTCATCCAAGGAAATGAATTATCATGATGACTTCGGTCTCGGCGTGTGCCACGTATGTGTTTAACTCCACAAAGCCCGCCCTGATCCCTCCTCCTAGACTTGGTTTTACAGTTTCTAAGAAGCTCCCAAATGTCTTTTATGAAACTTCATAGTTAATTTGGAACTTCCCTGGTGGCTCAGACAATAAGGAATCTGCCTGTAACGCAGGGGACCCTCAGACAACAAAGACTCTGGGCTGGGCAGTCCTGGAGAAGGGAATTGGCTACTCCCTCCAGTATTCTTAACTGGAGAATTCCATGGACAGAGGAGCCTGGTGGGCTACAGTCCATGGGAGTTGCAAAGAGTTGGGTATAACTAAGCAACTTTTACACACACACACACACACAGAGACATAAACAGTTAATTTACCACTGTATTCTACTAAAAAATCCAAGGGCATTGAGGTTGGTTTGCAGGACAATCTTAAAAGTGGCATTTTTCATGCTGGCTATATTGATAGTTTAATGTTACAGCACTCACCAAAAGGAGTTAACTATCAAATCTCAATCTTATAACCTTGATCAATACATGCCCCTCCAGTATCTGTGACCTTCTTTGTCACATATTTGGGAGGGAGCTACATGAAAGGTGTTGTGGGAGAGAAAAGGCAGTCCAATCAGTCAAATCAAGCTCTGTGATCAGTGTCATAGCAAGAACATCCCCAACCCAACCTAGTCCTGTCTGGAAAGAGGCTCACCAATAGGATGCTTTGACAAAGAAGGTCCCTTAATGTTCAACAGGTATAGTGACACATTCTCCTTTCTAGAAACTCCTTTAATACAAATTTTGATCAAATAACTTTTTTCTATGAAAGGTAAATGCCTATATATCATCAAATGACCACACATTACTAATAATAGTTATATAGTATTTTATGGTGTATAACACATTTTAACTTATGCCATCACTTCTTAGGAATATTCTGAGACAGGCAATATAATTTCCCTTCTATTGAAGAAGAAACAGACTCAGAGAGGTTATGTGATTTGCTTGTGTTTGGTTGCTCAGTCGTGTCTAACCCTTTGCGACCCCATGGACTGTAGTGCGTCAGGCTCCTCTGTCCCTGGGATTTTTCAAGCAAGAATACTGGCTGGGGTTGCCATTTCCTCCTCCAGGAGATCTTCCCAACCCAGGAATTGTAATCACATCTCCTGGCTCTCCTGCACTGGCAGGCGGATTCTCTGCCACTGAGCCACCTGGGAAGCCCATGACTTGCTTAAGGTCACACAAACAAAAGCTTGAACCCAAGGCTGGTCCTTTGACCGCATGGTCAGGGCACTTCTCATTATTAGCATTCTTTGCAAAGACAGTCGAGTCACTTCTTAAGGTAAGCCCAAGGACTAAAAGAATAAACGAAAACTGGCTTTTATTCCAATCAGGGCAGAGAGCCAATCTATCAGTAACCTCAGAAAGAAGGACTGCCCATACTATTAAAAAATCCAGGAAAGTTGATGGTTTTCTTCAGTTTTCTCACCATTACTATAATGCCAATATCATTTGTGTTCATTCTATCTGATTTCTTAGAATTCATCATGTAAGTAAGCCAATATAACATAGCCATGAATTAGGAGCAAGGGAGAACACTGGCCATTCATAAAAGAAATCATTTGGAATCATTTTCATTATACTTGCTCTTATAAAATGAATATTTTTTGTAACACTAAACTTTAAAAAAATCAATGGAAATGTTGTCAACCACCTATTTTTGTTGTTCATATACTGGGCAAGAGCTACCCAAAAATACATAAAATAGATCCTATATAATCTATACTTTGCAAATAGCTAAATAACAAGAGACTGCTAAGTTTAAAGAGGTTAATGGATATTTACTTAATAGGTAAAAATAAACATTCATTACGTGAAGCATTAATAATGTAAAAGCATGTCTATTTTAAGTAAACTCATCCTAGAAGCCAAATTAGGGCTGTGTTTTCTGAAATTAATAACTAGCGTTAATTCAAACCAAAAGTTTGGACAGTATTAACTAACACTTATAGTACCATTATCATGACTTTCTTTTTCTCCATATCTGATTACAGGCTCTGCTCATGATTTGGAAGAACAATAAAAACAGGACCATTAGGAATCATTTCCTAATGACTTCCTAATCATTTCCACTGGGACAAACAAGTACTGTAAACTTGATGTTGGTACTTCTTTGCCCCTAGTTCACATCATTTAGACTGATTAAAATGTTAATTTTTACATATGTGAATAATCGCAAAGGAGCAAACAACTGGAGACAGCACTATGTGCTAGCAATCATTGCGGGTGGGTAAACTGACAACATGTAACCGCATATTAAGACAAATGTAGAATTTAGACAAAGTATTCCATCTCTTTTCAGATGTATACTTTTAAACCTCAGGAACTGTTTTCAGTAGATGTCATGCCTTTTAACTTGAAAAAAGATAAGCGCAAATAAGCTCCCAATTGTCTCCCCAATATGTAAACCACATCTCGGGCTGCTGTCTCTGCTACTCCTTTGAAGTTTCCCTGAAATGTCATGTGTTGTGAAGACTGCTGTGCATAAGCAAGACAATTTGCTCACTCTCAGAATCCTTACCGGTTTCCACCGCTATTTGGTACCCAGCCTCTAGTCTCCGAGATGACCTTTCCAGCCTCTCTGTGTTATCGAGCAGATGTGCCCTCTGAAAAAGAAAAGGGGGAAAAAATCAGACGACCGTCTACAATGTTCTTTTTTTTTGCCTTAAAAAAATAATGCCATTGTATGCCCTAACATTTCGGGGGGAGGGTGGATCACAACCTATTACAGATAATTTTTAGCACATCTTTCTTTATACAAACCACTACAATGAACCGATTTTCAATCAATCAATTGTGTATGGACCATCCATTTTTTGTTTTGTTTTGTTTTAAAAGGCAGACTCATGTTGTACGTGGCCACAATGAATCTTGCTCCAAAACACTGAGAAATGTATGAAGACCAGAACCAACTGGATCTTTCCTGTTGCAGCAGAAGTAGCTTTATGAGTTATTTGCATGGATCAATGATCCCTATTTTGTATTTATTTTTTATAAAATGCAATCATGAAAAAAAATTCACTAGTTCCTTTGATTCCTAAAGAAATTTTAAATGAAAATTTTATTCTTAAAGAATGCCCCTTAATTTTTCATGTGCAGCAAGATGCCATATAGAACAACATATGCTACTAAAACAGAATACTAAACAGCAATTCTAGTTCTAAGACCACTCAGGGCAACCACTAAGAAACAAGAGACACATGTTCCCTCATGCACACAGATGTACAAAATTGTGGATTTATTCCCAAATATTCCCAGATATATGGCACTATACTGAAAGTGAATTTCTAACACAGTGTTTTAGACTAAGAACTAAAATGATAATATACATTATTTTATATTATGTCTGATGGGGGAAATTAGAAGATTTTTCCCAAATCCTCAGCTTCTAAACTTTCTTTTCTACATTGAGGCTGATCTTTTTAAGCATAACAATCATACTCTAGATCATATTCAGACTGACAAATACATTTATAAGCTAATAATGGCTGTGAATGGATAGCAATATGTGCATGCCCTTGGGAGTGTGTGTTTGTGTGTGTGTGTGTGTGTGTCCTTATGTGTGTACTGATGCATGTATGTCTGGATACTTAAAAATACTAAAATATGTGTAACTATATATTTGGGCATGTGTACATGCACTCATGTATTTGTATAAATTAGTACCTTACCCCATCAAATCAGTTTTGGTATCTGGTCAAAAAGAAAGAAAAAAATGCAACCATAACTCCAACTTTGTGTTGTTGACAGATGTCATTTAAAATCGAAGAAATGCTTTCTAATAATAAAAAAAAAAAGGAGGTGCCACACATATTATCTGAGTGGCTGTCGAGCGAAACGATCCACCTTGCTCTAATGAGCCCCCATGGATCTTGGAGATGCAAGCTGTATTGACATGCACACTTAAGCTAATACACCTAGACCAGTGCCTCCAAGCTCTAGCAGCCAGGGATGCTGACAGAATATCTCGCTTCCATCTTCAAAGAAAGGAAGTGATTAGTATGTTATCATTACCATTCAAAACGTGATTTCCTTATTCCCTCCCGGCATAGGTGACACATCTGAGATGCGGCCAGACGTTGGAGGCAGCTAAAGCCACATCAAAGCTTTCCTTGAAAAATTTTTTTTGGGGGGGTAGTGCTGGGGGAAGTGGGGGGAAGAATCATTAAAACAATGCATTTAGAACAGAGAGATAGGACCTGATGTGAAGGTCAGGAAAGCTGCAACAACAGTCTATAGTAATTAATAGAGTCATCTACTATACAGTGGAGAAATTAAGAGAAAAACTGCCCCTCCCTCTGCAAAAAAAAAAAAAGCACTAAATAAATAAAAGGGAGGAAGGAAAGCATATATCATAAAAATGCAAAATCACTAAAGTCTGTAATTGAGAAAACGAAAAGCAAGGGGAGCTTTATGTGTTTGGCATTAATGACTATTTTTAAATAAATTTAACACTTTACTCAGCTTGTCAAAAATTAGGAATAGGAAAAGCTTTCTTATTCCTAATTCTCACTACATGAAGGTTTTGGGAGTGGGAATTGCTCTTCCCTTCTTTGAATATTGTTTTCTAACTTAACAAAGGACTTGATTTTTCAAATCGGTGATTCTCTAAAAAAAGATATCAGCATTATGGCATCAAGAATAAATGTGACTTTTAATCCAGAATTCAGATCAAAGATTTTGGTTCATTTTCATATTGGGTGAAATCCCTAAACTAAAAGAAAATATTTAGCTACTGCAGATTTAAAGAAATCAAAGTTCAATACTGAGAATGGAGAGTTTAATTACACAATAATAGAAACGTAGGAAACAAAGTATTTAAATGTAGAATCATTTCTGAGATTCTATCAATGGGAGCCAAATTAGCTTATCCAGTATATGGCTTTGTAATGGAAAGTGAAACTGCTGAGAGAACTTTTTTATTAAAAAAAAAAAAAAAAGGTCTATTCCTAAATAATGTCAGTAACTCTTCTGCAGGACAGTTCAATTTTATCAGAGTAAATCTGCACACAAGAGGACTATCAGTTTACCAGCAGCTTTCCAGCAGGACCTCACTTTGTATTTTGGAACCTCTTCACTTAAGTCAAGCTAAAATCAAGTTCTTGTAACAGCTGTGCTATTTACATTGTTCCCTTAGTTGTACATTGCCCTGGTCTCTGAAAATGAAAGGAAATACAGTACAGTAGCAGCTGATGCTTTCAACTTGCCCCCACACTCCATCCCAAACTCATTCTCTCACCCTCTTCTCAGCCCTTTTCAAAGCAGGTAAGTGAAGCTGTGCTGGAGCTTCAGACACAGCTCAACCTGTGTGAGGAGCTGCGCAACGTGGAGCGCTGGAGACGCAGGATTCAAACAGAGAGCTCGGTACAGCTCAGCTCCCTGGGCTTTATCAGCCCGATTCTGAGCAGGCTCTCTTTTCCAGAACGGAGCCCAAAAAGAGAGCCCCCAAAAAGAGCATCTTGAGGACTGAATGGGGCATACTTTGTTTCCAAATAGTATGAAACATTCTATTTTGAAGCAGAGGAGTGTTTGTCTTCTTAGGATAGCTACAAGGAGGAAATCAGTGTTTGATTACTCTGAGCATCCTGCCTGAGAAACAATGACTTCGGAGCAGACCATATACCAATAGTGCCATCATTGTAACCTACCCTATAAATATCAATGCTGCATCCATATCAAAGGCTGTTAAGAGAATACTTCAGAGTACATTATTCTGTTAGTTGAGTGATCTAATTCTTCCAAGTACAATTCCATTTTGGGTTATAGTGTTGGTAACATGCATTCCAGAAGCATAACTGATAAAACTGTTGCTATAGGCACAGGAAGGGAGTTAAAAGCCATAAAATAATGATGAAACGTATTTTAAAAGAACTGCAGATGTGATGTTTTCAGCTTACAGAATTAAGATTTCTAAGTCCACACAATTCAGCTTAAAACTAAATCTTCTGTCAATGATGCTGACGGTACTAAGACACAAGGGCTTATTAATTATATTCATTGCTAAATTCAGGGCCAAGAGCTTCATGTAGTTTCTTCATAGTCTATAGTTGGCCGCATTAATATTTGAAAATTCAAATTCTTCACCTAAGCCTGAGCATATGCAAATACATACAAGAAGACTGTCTTGCAGAAGAATAATGTTGACATATCACTCACCTCAAGAATAATCTTATACATCAAAACTACGATTTATAATATTCATTTAATATATACATCTGCTTCCATGCAGGGAAGATAAAAAAACACAAAAAGGTTGGAGGGTGAGGGTTTTGTGTATTTTCACCCTTCTTTTTATATATCATTATTACTTTTACTGAGAAGACATCATGAATGCATCTTAAATCACAAGAGTTGTTGAAAACCACTCTCTACAAACCTCTAAATTAGCATTCATATCACCTAGAGAATGATGACATACCAATTAAAAATAAAAAAACTTCCAGGAAAAAATCACAAACAACACAGTCAACCTAAAGTTGAAAATAATTCACAGTACTCTGCTTATTATAAGCAATTAGACAATTTTTAAATTGTAATATAGGTCATTATTTTATGTCCTAATGTAAAAGTAACTAAATTCAATCTCACTAAGGAAAAACTATGACTACTCTATTTCTGAAAAGAGTAGCAGAGTATATTTGATAAGTATGGTCTAATTTAAAAAAATATTTAGAATCATTTGGCATCCCTCATGCATACAGGGATAAAATTATCAACGTTGTTATAAACATTTGCTGAGCCACAAAAAAAGTCTAGAGTTGTATTATGAAGCAGGCTAGCAAACTCAGAAAAATGAGAACTCACCTGGGTGCTATTTCCTACAAAAAAGAAAGTGTTTAACAATGAGGAGAGGCTTGGCTATTCTTAGGTATCTGTGTACATAGACTAGTAGAGTATAACATATGTGTGTTTCCCCAAAAGGATAATAGGCTCATGGTATCTAATGTTGAACTAAGAATTTTGGTTGAAGGAAAGAACTTAGTTTAAAAACAGTTTTCAGTAAATTCAGAATGTCAGAAAAAAAAATTAATCCTGTTGACTTCTTTGAGAAACCAATGCAAACAAAACAAAACTGAAGTCAGTCTACATGAAAACTACACTTGGGTATGGCTTCAAGATATTCCTTTTTTTTCCCCTCCCTTTTTTGGTCTTTAAAATATGAATTTTCTTCCAAAGCAAGAAAACAACAATGATCACTGTGATAAGCATGATTAGAGTGTATTTGGTATTTTTTTTTAAAGATAGCAGAGAACATTTCTAGCAATATAATCAATGCTTTTAATATGCGCAGATTTTCCTGGAAAAATGAACCCAATGGTTTTACTTCAGATTTAGATACTCAGTTTTATAGGGAAAAGCAGAATTAAAAAAAAAAAAAAGCAAGCTAGGAAGTACTCACCTCTTCACGTAATTTTATCAACTGCAACAAGAATGCACAAAAAAAAAAAAAAGATAAAAAGGAAAGAAATGGCAGGAAAGAAAGATCAGTTGTGTGACAGGATACAGAATTAACATTGACAATTTATCTGTTTACATGTTTAGCATTTAAAAATCACAGACAAACACATTAAAAGAACCTAAACATAGACTACATGCAGAGTTTTTTGAACGAATAAAGATCACTTTCTCACACTGTCACATTAAACAAAGAGAATAGTGTGAAATTCTCTTTTAAAGTACATCTAAGACACCATCATGAAATAAAGGGGAACGACTTCATAGAAGTCTATATTATAAAGAAAGAAAACAAGTTTACTGTTCCTCTCTTCTAAGAATGAACCACTGAAGAGGTTTTGTATATACAAGTTTTCAGAATGTTTCTCTATTTTGAATCTTGACAACTGCTTTCAGATTTTTACCTCCAAATGAAAATGATTAATAGCTCATGCATTTGTCCCAGTAAGTATTTTAAAATAACAAACTGGTATGTTAAACTCATACTTGTAACCATTCTAGTAACAGGATCACCTTTGGAAGTAAGATTATTTTAATTGGGAATAAAGCATGCCAGGAGAGATAATATTTAGGACATAAAATCAGAAAATATTTCACAATCCTTAGCAATACTGTGTATATCAGAGTTGGTTTCCGGGGTTTTGTTTTGCTGAAGAGGCTACTATAATCACAAGGTGTTTTAATTTTAATTTTTGAAGTTTCTTCACTTATCAGTTTTCTTGATCTTGTAAACCAGGTCATTTCAAAGCAATGAACTCTCTAACTTCATTTGTACTGCAATTTGTTTTCAACAAAGTCAAACCTCAAGCCACTCTTTACCTGTTAGCAAACTCTTTTGTGATAACATTTTGATTTTTCTCTGTAGAATATTTAATTGTCTTAAATTTTACAGATAAAACAAGTTGTTTTACTCTTTAGAAACTAGAAGATGGATATAACCATATGTCTGGTTCCCTGTGTGTATGTGATAGTACTGTATTCTAACCCACAAATATTGGAGAGTTGAGGTGTTTTCCAGTTTCTACAATGAACAGAAACGAAACCTATGTTGTATGAGACTATAAACCATATTCTAGGTCTGAAACTTACATCCTCAGCAATTCAGGTCTACAACTGATAATTTTTAAGCATCCAAATATCTGTAACATCTGTTATAACACTTGACATAAGCAGGCCAATAAATTAAACTATTGCTTTGGGAAAAACGTGCCATGAACTGCTCACTATAAGTCTTTCTAAAAGTATCATGTTTACTATAGCCCAGATTTCTCAAAGCTTAAAGCTATTTTTGTCTCCAATTCAAGGAAAACCATATGCATTCCAGCCTAGTCTGTTATTTCATTTGTTATTTGAAAAGTATTTCAAGTACAAAAGAATGAGATTTCAAACCAGTTATGAATCTTAAAAAAAAGGTACAGAATCTATTACATAAGGTCTCACACTGCATTTAGTGAAAAAGAAAGTTTTTCTACCTTTCAAAAATACATATGAAGTTGTTATTACTTGTAATTAATACAATCATTATCTCAGCAACCACTGAGTGGGTAAGTCAATCATCTCATCATTTCACGGGAAAAGTTACAATTCTTCCCTAGAAGAAGCAAAATTCTAAACTAAAATACCTGGCCTATCATATATCGGAATCTTTCTCTTTGCTATCGGAACATCATGGGAGAAAAAGGGCAAACATTAATTCTCAGAGAAAGCTGATCTGGGATTGATCGCACGGCTATTTTTTTTCTTTTTTCTTTCTGGGGGCACCATTCTTCAGCTGACTATGATACTTAAAGGGCCAAAGTTTAAAACTACTCCTCAGCAATGGAGACCATTTGGGCATGCCACCCTGCCATAATCAATGAGTGTTTAAAAATGCTACCCATTTGTTTTTTCAATAGGTTCCAAACAAAAAACGTTCTATCTTGTTTGTGCTGCATGGCTGCATCCAAGCTTTACACCGGATTTGTAGCTAAGCTAGGTAATGGGAGGGTTTTAATCTTTATCTTTTTCTTCTTCTTCTTTTTTTTTTTTTTTTAGTTAGTCTGAGAGTTTTCACTCAAGTAAACAAAAGATGGCCTGTTTTTGAAAATTAACAATGCTTAGACTAGACTGAAAGTAGTGATTTTGTATTTTTTCGATTCGCATTTTATCGAGTTTCTAGCTCCGTCATAGGCGACATGAAAGTGTGCCGCCACCATGTTGAGTTATGATAATCAACATCTTTTTGAAACAAAGATTTCTGCACAACCACCCCCCCACCCCCCCCATGCAGAATTTGATACAAGAGGTAATCTGTTCCTTTGTGGGCTGAAAAAATCTGGTTTACGCTGGTTTGAACCAGTGGAATCTCTTGTGGTTAAGCCTTCTGCTGTGACTGAAATCAAAACTGCACTGCAGAGCATGTGAGGGTTCGTGCGCGCGCGCCTGTGTGTGTGAGGGGCGTCACGTGACCCCCAGAACTACCGAATTTTTTTTTTTAAAGCTGATAACGCGACTGCCGTCTCTGTCCGCATATAGATAACGAATAAATGCTGAACTCTATTAAACGCCCTTTACACATTATCGTGGGTCGAACACACAATTTTCTGAACTTATGATGACAGTCTATTTATTTTGCTATAAACCCTCAGCACGTAACGAACAGATTTGTGCCTGGTAATGATCTGCTCTGCCAGGGCTATATGAAACGATACCGACCTTCTTTAGATCTTCGGGAATTAAATTGACCGACTTCACCCCCTGGTCTGTAGCTGAAGTTTAACACACTTTATGCACAGCAAGCCCAAATCGGAACTTAAGAGAACATCGCATTAAAAAATTAAGCAAATCATATCTGCTGAATATTGCTTTACCACAAAAAGTTCCTCACGTTTAGACAAACCCTACTCTTTATATATTTTTTTGAACCTCCTATCTGGGATTTACTCAAATTTCTTTTACTCACGTTCATTCACTGATCAATATAATTTTGCATATGGAAACTGAGATACTATTAGGTTTCAGATGTGGAGCTTGGAACATTTGTCCCATTATCATACTCTCCTGTGAAGGGGATTTAATTCTGTATGAATTTTTTTTTTCCCTTTCCTAAGAATCGTTTTCATGAAACTAAATCAAGTTAACAATTATTAAATTTTCCACTTGAAATACAGCATCACTACATTTCAAGAACAAGCTCTTTGAAAATATTAAGATGCTGTCATATGCAATGGAAAATTTGATTTGTTAAAAGAACAGAATGATGATGCCCAAGACAACTAACAGTTCACGGAAAGACCCAACAATATTTGAATGTGCCAAATAGGTAATTTTGCCTCTTCTCTGTAAATCAAGGATGAGCTACACTTGACTGCATGAAATGGATGTAATAGAAATGAATTTATACAAAGCAATTAATTTGGAATTAAATAAAAATATGTACTGTATGGAGAACATTAAAAATGCATTTGAAAATTCTTAATTTTTGAAATTATAACAATTCTAATCATGGCAAAATGTTTACATATATAAGAGTAAATTAATATACTGTATAGTTAATTGGAAGAGCATAATTATGTGTATCAACAGCCAAGTTTTAGAAGCCTAAAAAAATGGATTATGAATTGGCAGACTGAGAAATAAGAACTAAGGCATTCATATTTGTCTAAATCTACAAAGTCACTATAAGGAAGATGTGGACATCGCATTGAAAGTAACTAAACAGATAGCACTTAGTTCATTTGTCTATTTATAACCTTTGTTATTAATTACTTATCCTTTTTTTCTGATCTATTCTTTAAAAAAACTGAGATATATCCCAATTTTAGTTAAACAAATATTGCCACCTTTGGTCTCATTTTTTACCTCTAAGTTCTCCCTGTATTTTTTAAAATTTACCATAAATACGACATGGCCAAGAAGTTCTGAAAAATCAATTTCTCAATAATTAGGTTGAAAATAAACTTATCTGTGTGCAGAAAATATTTTCTTCTTTAATTTACTAGGTGAGCTTCTCTAATTTAGTGGCATGGTGATCCTAGCCAGAAAAAGCTATCTTCTCAGCCACTGAGCTACAAAAATTAAAATGAAAAGCCAAATCTTTTCTTCCTTTAAAGAAAAATTTCTGTTTTGATTTCATAGTCTGAATGAATACTGATGCAGAATAGTTACTCTCAAGTGACCATTCCAAGTTAAGGATGTGTTCTATAGTTTTAGGGATTTTAATTCCTATATTATGACAAAGAGCCTCAAAACAAAACATAAAGGCTTTATTATGATATGGAAATTGTGCTACTTTGCTAACAAAATATCCTAAAAGTTATGTGTCATCTCTTTGAACTTTCAAATTTTAGACTGAAAAGTTCACATAAGTAATAATCTAACAGTTCCACAGTCTCATGACTATAATTTATCACACTCTATTTATTGAAGTGACAGCTCCTTACAACTAAACTTCAGGCTCTCCAAGCACTTTCAGAATTTGTAAGCTTGATTTATACAAGTCCAGGGGAAATCTCTGAGTTATCACTTTAAAGTGACAGGAATATAATTTGAAAAATTCAGAAAATATGAACTCAATCTATTTTTGTGGAATATTTTTCTTTAGGCGTTAAAAAAAAAAGTCCTCCTTATATGTTCATAAGGCAAATATTCTAGGCACATAAAATGTCCATTAAGAGAAGAGAACATGCTTTAAAAAAAAAAAGATCCCTGTCACAGTACTACAGCCTCCATTACAATAAAGGAGTTTGAGTTAGACAGAAACACCCTCTTCTCTTCCATTTCCTCTATATTTGGCAGTAGTTTCAAATGAGGTAAAGATCTATAGCTCTTTAAAGAACTGACATGGAGATTCACTTTTTTTTTTTTTTTAACACATTCTTTTTTTTTTTTGTAAAAAAAGACAGTGCTTTTATTTGCAGTAAAGATAGAAAATAAAACTATGATTAATTCACTCAAGAGGTATGAGCAATCTAAATCTCACTTAAAATAGGGAAAAAAAATTTTTTGCTCTCATCCTCACACTATTTAATCTATTATGAGTAAAACTCCTTTATCACATCATGCTTTTGTGTTTGATGTGCTCCTTTTTTTTTTTTCCCTTAGCTATGCTCACATTTCAATCAGGGAAGCTGAAATCCCAAGTCAAATCTTAACATGTTTACATGTCTGAACTGAAGCTGATAACATCCAACTAGTGGAGGAGCTGAGATCTTTCCAAAAACAAACACAGGACTGCTTAGTGATTCTTCCTTTCTGGGGGTGGGCAGATGGGGGCCTTTTCATCACATGAGCAACAACCCTGTTTACAATATTCACATTTAGGGGATAGTATTATAGTTTCAGCATATATAGATTTACACTCTATTTGCAAGGGTAAACACTATTATGCAATTTTTATAATGCATATCAATTTATTATGTTTTAGTGGCTTATTAAAATGTTGGTTTACCCAATGAATGATTTATGTTCATTTTTATTTAGAGTAGAGGCTTCTACTAGACTTGCCAAAGTAACGTTAATAAACACGTTCAGGTCTTGCTTCTGAAGTTCCCTATCATTTATTTTCTTTAAAAGTGTCAAAGAGAATCAGTCACTAGGGCTGTTTGAGACATTTTTAAAAAATCATCTCTACTCTGAGGTTCTTGAAACATTTTTTAAAGTCATATATATTATCTACATGAATTAATGAAATCCGCAGTATTAATTCAAAGAAAGAAGTGGGACACTAATTAGACTCATGACACTACTGTGTGATCGCTGACAGCCAAGTTGCAAGGCCTCTTGAAGAAGAAACCGTGTCTTATTTTTTTGCCTATGCAAAAAAACTTAACCTGCAAAAAGACTTCTCCCACTACTACTCCTATAACTATTATCATCATCATCATCATTACCTGACAGGAGCACAACCTCTATGTGAGTGTCCAAGTTCCACGCTGGTGCTTCCAATTTGCATTTTGGTGAATGGATTTTTAAGAAGGTACACAATAGGCGCCTGAGCTGCCCAGTCGAATTTTGAAAGCTTACTTTCATTTGTTTTGCTGTGAGTGTTGATTTAATTATACTGCATTATTATCAAAGCTGCATTATGTACTTTTTTTATTCCTTTTACATGTGTTGGAGGTGAGGACCTTGGCTTTGTCCACAAACAGTGTGTTTCAAGTTATTCCTTAAGTACTAAATAATAAAGAAAAGAGAAGAAAAGATTTTTTAAAAGATAGCAGACAGTGATCACAAGGTAAAGGGTTAAATGTAAGATCTCCAAGAAACATTTTGAAGTTGATTAAGACTCCAGCTTTGCATTAAACAGTATCGCTTCCACATGAGTTGTCGCTAATACTGCTGCAGAGCAGCTTGAGAGCCCAGTGCGCCCGTGACCTCCTTCACCCTCCAGCCACCCACCGGGCCTTCCTGATTAGCATTCTACCTGGCTCTCGGAGGAATTCCCGTCATCCCCTAGGAGCTCATTCCGTACTTCGTCACTGTAGGCGATCCGTGACCTTTTCTATAAAACAAAACAGAAAGGGAGAGAGCAAGATGAACGTTAGAAAGTAAAGGCTTCCAAGCATTATTGGTATCAAGACTCATCATCTCAAACCTCGAGAGCCCCCTAATGGAAACCTATTTGCTCAAATCTGCAAACCAAAGTTGTGCAAAGTTCTTGAACTTGAGGAGTTTAATGTAAATTAAATAAGTTTTTTCAAATGCTAGTCATGGATAAAAACTCTGCATTGTGTGAGTACTCTATTAATACTGACAAACGGATCAGAACTGATATGTTATTCCATGCAGTCATTCAGATCAGACCACGAAGCTGAAAGAAAATACAGCTATTTTGCTGTGTATCTGCCACACTCACCAGATGCAGTTAAAACAAGAGTATATAGAGTCTTTAATACTGTGGCAGGAAATGGACTCTACAATATAGGTCTTTTAAAGTCTCTACTTCTAGGATAATATTATATCTCCAGCTATATACTGGGATGCCTGGCAAATAGCATATCCCCATTTCCTTCATTATTGTGATGTTACTAATCAGAAAGAGATGGAATTTAAAAGCCCATCCTTTTTCCAAACTATAATATAAATGTCTCCTAGTCCTCTAAAAAATGGCCTAAGGAAACGTAGTGGGAGTGTGTGTGTATGTGTATCTGGTAAAACAAATTTCCCAATCCCAGTAAACAAAGGCAAGTAGGCTATGAGTCAACTTTTCACAATTCCAGTAAATAAAGACAAGTAGGCTATGAATCGATTTTTCACACACTGAAATTTTGTTTTACAAGAAATCTACCTTTACCAGTAAAGTCAGAGGGACATGTCTGCAAGCAATTCATGAATTATCTAAATGTGCACACATTTGGAAAAGCTAAAAAGCTCTGAAAATTAGTTGTGAAGCTAGAGTGCCATCCTCAGATCCTACTTCAACATCACTATTTCCACCCAAATGTGGATGTACAGGTTACTTTACTGCCTTTTCTGCATCTGAACTAACAGCAAAATCAGTCAATTAAAAAATGGCAGCTGGGAAATAGTAATCTTTTCCTATTTCGGGTCTATAGTTTAGGACTTAATATTTCTTACCTGCTCAACTGTGATATGAAAAATTTTGTAGTTTAAAAGGACTATCCATAATCTGAGAAGAATTCAACAAAATTTTTAATTAGGTTTTTAAACCAGTGAATAAGTAGCAGAGCTTTGCCACATAGAGATCATAGTATCTTAAACATAAAATCCTACTATATTGTAACTTTAAAGAACTTTCAACAAGGAAAACTAATAGATTTTAAATCATTTTAAAGTTTGCCTTTCTCACTTGGGCTCCCTATCCGAACCCCAAAACACAGAAAATTATTTATGACTATTCCCAATTCTCCCAAAGATGGGATATAAGAGAGAGTTTAGTTCATTACATAGAATAGAAGCCTCAGGGCATTATGGCTTAACTCTCTGGCAGAATCCTGTTGAAAAGGGCTGAATGGGGTGTAAATAAAAATAAATAAACCTAGACATCCCTTTATTTTTTAAGGAAAACAAAAATCAGTCTTGTGGAATTCTAAAGGTAGCTTTGGTTAAATTGACACTAGAACCCTGTGGTCCTAACTACAGCTCAGTAGTCACTCTACTGCACAAAATTTCCTCCTAATTTTACTAGCCTCTAAATACACACAGAGGAAATAAAAATATATAAAAGTTGCAAAATGTTACAAAGGGGATGGTGGTATCCCCTCCTATTCTAGGTCTCTGCCCCAAGCCCTACTTCTTGCTACAAATGTGTGTATCATACCTTGGCAAATGTATTAAGTCTGTAAGTAGATAAATGAAACCAACCATGTTGCAGAAAGGGCAAAACAGGAAAGGTAGGTCATTAGCCTGAGGTCAGTAATGATATCTGTATCAGCTGTCTTAACTATTCAGGAGTGACCCAACTCATTCCTTTTTGAATATAGCATGCTTCTCACTGCCACAAATATTAGGTTGGCTTCTCTTATTGTATTTACTGAAGCTACTATTAATTAGCTGTTTCTACTGACTCCGTAAAGTATTGAAAAATACTAAATTACAAGGACAATACACTACGTGGCCTTAGCACAATATTTCATTCAAGCCAAACCTTTCTTTTGCCCATTTGGGGCTCCTTGATACAATAGTTTCAAACTATCTAGCAAAAGTATTTTACAGCATTAAAGGAAATGAGAACCTTTTAACATTCTGTGGTATCAGAGCTGCCTTTTTAATTATTCATTTCATCACCATGGGGGACTAAAACATTCCACGGTATGCAAGAATATCATATGGAGATTGTTTTTGTTTTTCCCTTTTTTACCAAAATACCAACAAATAGGTATAGATCGTTCAATTACACTATATTCTTATTTTGATCTGCTGTACTTCAAAAGAAGAAAATTACAAATATGGATGCCTACATAACTAATCTTGTTTTGGTTAGAATCCATTGCTTTTAAAAACCAGCAATTAAGAGTGTACATGCTCAGCAATACAGGAGAATTGAAGTTATCCAGAGTTGAAGGGTGGGCCCTATAAATGTCACTCTTTACCATTGGGATAGTAAAAACTGGTCATTGGGATGACTCTCTGGATGTAATTAAGCACATGATATGCTGAGTTTATAAAATGTTCTCTCATAGGACTGACTTCTGTTACAGAATGAAAAGACAACTTATTTCAAATATCAGAAATAGTTCCTCATGAAAATGACACAGCTGATGCTGAAAACTGAACTCTTTACACTTAAGTATCACTTTGAACAAAATGCTTTTAAATTCACACTTTGCTTTATTAAGAATTATCTTTAAATGCCTGCCATTGGTCTTTTCTCCTAATTTTTTATGGTTTGAAATTTTAAGTAAGCTGAATTTAATAAACTGTAATTTAGCCTGCAGGATCATCACTAAAATAACTGAACACCCAAAAAGGCCAATTCGTCTGAATGAGAAATTGCTTATTTTATGAAATTTTCCTCCAAAATATCAATAAACTGTTTTACCTTTTGTGGAATTTTTTTGTTTAGTATTTTACATTACTAAGTACTATGCCATACTTTAAATTGGAAGATTCAAAGTTAATGAAACTGAAACACCTACTGTATCTGGATCAACTAACTAAAATATTTTTTACTTTATTATCAACTGTATAAAATCTGTACTTTAGCCAAATGCAAGCATGAGAATTTGAGCTGGAAATGTCACACACTCAGCTACAGTTTGAAGGAACCCAATTCATAATGCATTTTATAAATAGTTAATGACTTCTATACATAAGCTAACCAGGCAAATCAAGAAATTGTCAACATTTTTAGTCTTAGTTGTCAGTTACTACTGTCTACTGGTACTTTATATGTGGCTTCTGGAGAAGACAGAAGCTCTCTGCAGTTTGTAATCTATTGCAATTTCAGGTCTGTACCATAAGGGTGGAAAAGCTTCAACTGACAATATGTGCCACACACACACACACACACACACACACACACACACGCACACACACTCTCTCTCTCACATACAGAGTGTTAAATACAAGGGTATTCCTCACTTTTAGTTGTGTGTTTGTGTAAAGTTTATTCCTTCTAACTTATATATCTGGGTGGACAGAGAAATCTACAGACCAAATATGAACCCTAAAAAATAGGACAAATCAACAACTGATTGTTATCCCTAAGACATTAGATGCACAAAATGTCAATGGATTATTTTAAACTGATGACAAAAATGAGTCTTTGGTTAAGAAACTAAGAATTTCAGATGCCAAGCAGTTTTTGTACTTGATGAACACAACGTTTGCATACTGATTGGCTGATTTTCTTAAAGACAAGTTCAAACAGATACACTTGCTCAGTTCTCTCTGGAAATTTGGCTTGAAACAATCTATCTACTTGACCTTAACATTTCCCAACTGAACTGAATGTGTTCCTGGACAGGCACTGCTAAACTAGAAACAAAATGAATTAACTTAGCTTAAACTAATTAAGAACTGTGATCTGTGGTACCGCCTCCTGGATGAATCTACATGAGAAACAGGGTATAGGTAACCGGAATGAGGATTTCTAGCACTCACCACTAGCATAAGCATAACAATGAAGTTGGTTTATTACGAGAGCGTATATGAGAATTTAATTTCCATGGCGTGCACATGGCAAAGCAATTGCTTAAATTGCCTCACCTGGGAATTTAATACAATGTTATCATCAGACCAGCCACATTGTAAATAGATTTATAATGCTTTCCATGTGCTGCACTCTGTTGCATATGAATTAAGTAATGATCTGGTATTACAATAAAATCAGCTAGTTCCCACACCTGGCAGACAGGATATTTCACTAAATTAATACCCAAACAGCTACATCACAAGGCATGGGAGAGGAAACAATCTCTAAGGCATTGGACGTGAGTTTAACATGGGAGGCAAACACTCCATGGTTATGTAAAATGTTACTGTGTTGAATGGGCCGCTCAAGACAATCTGTTTCTAACATCTGTATTACCGAATTAAGACTTTCTCAGTTCCATTCAATTTTGGCCTGATTTTCTTCATTCAGTAGTTTAATTACTAATCAGCAATCCACAACATTCACAAACACTAAGAAAGCCCTTTATTCTAATCTATGTGCTGCAGACAGCCAAATAATTGATACAAAGTGTACTATGGTTTTGGTAAGTAATGAAAGAACAGCTTGTCCTACTTCCTAATCAAATTGGTCTATAGAAGAAATGGTTACTAGATTTCTCCATAGGTCTAAAACAAATTACCCAGTCTGGCCAGACTTTTCCATTGCTTCTACCATGTCTTTCAGTTTCCCTATATTTAATAATGCCCCAGGTTACCAGGTGATACACCTATTAAAAACTGTTATGCTTTCATAGCCAAAGAATTTAACTGCTCTAAAGAATTTAACTGCTCCTGTTATAATTAACACTTTGGGATAGCTATAGAATACCATGAAATTATATTTATTAGCTAGTCATATAATTGCTGGCACTCATTTCTTACCTA